TCAACACAGGGAAGGGCCGGATGGTGTTACAGTGCCATTGTGTTGTGATTCTAGGAGTGACTAACATTGAATAAATTAATAAGCAGGATGACAGTGCTTTTAAGGACCAAGCTGACCACCAGCAAGAACTGAACCAAATATGGAAGAGAAGTACCAGGGGCAATGGATCTTTACAACAGTATTGAGCAAAAGCTGCTCTAAACCAGATATATGTTAGCGTGATTGGCACCTCAGTGCTCTCCCCATCTCTTTCTGAAAGCTAATGAAAAATAATCCTCTTCTGTATGGAAAAAAATTATTTGCCATATACTCCTCATGGAAAAACACCTGTTCTGCTTCTTTATTTCCTGCTTTTTCAACATAAATGAATACAAATACAGAGGCAATTTTCATATGATACAGACTGTCATCCGCAGCTTTCTGAGCACCAGGCTAGAGATACACTTGTAGGATCCACTCTGGGCCACTTCTTGGCATCTGAATGAGGAATAAATACATCTGACTGAACAACAAATGCTCCTTTGTGCTTCAGTTTCATCATGATTTTCAGTAGGTCCACTATGACTCATTATACAAAGTGCTTGACCAAGGCAACATATAGGAAACAGAAGAGGCTTAATGCTTTCTCTAAACCCCATATTATTCCTCTGGTTAATTTAGAGAACAGTTTGTATCCTTCACAAAGAACATTAAGTACATACTTTCAAGAGTCCTCAAGCTCTGCTCTCCCTCTCTTTGCAGTTCTAGTGGAGTTGGACTTTAGATACCATCAGCTACATGAAATAAACTTTTGGATTAATTAGAAAATGTGTGTAGAAGGTGGGTGGGACATGCCAGTTAAAATGCCAGTGAACTAAATATGTTAACAATGAAAATGTTTTCCAGTGGGAAACAGAAGTAGTAACCAATGATAAATAATTTAGAGGCAGGCAAAATGTGAAATGCTTATGGTGCTTCTGTGGAATATGATATGGCACATATCTGTAAAACAATTACTGACTCTATTGTGTAAACCTCACGACCCTAACTTGACACGTCCACTGTTCCACAATAAGGTGTGTCGGAATCAGGACCAAGATGCTTTATTAGAAGGAAAAAAAAAAGTCATTTTTACAAGTTCCAGTGTGATTTTACTAAAAATAAAAAGTTTTGTGGGCTGCCATGTCCAATTATTTCACAATAATAAAAAATTTGCATTCAATACTCAACATTTCATCACTGGTTCAAATGCCTACCTACCATTTTGTCTAAGTATTCAAGCTTGCTTGCTGATCCCTTTCTCTGTTGAATATGAATTAGTGCTTACATACAGAATTTGTTATTTAACTGAACAACTGTTAGCACATAATCTGAATTTCAAGAAGTATTAAAGTATTACATTTGACATTTTTTACAACAGGTAGTAATTTAATATGCAGTAGTAGGAAATTTTTCAAAAACATCAGGTAGAAAATTTGGTAGAAATTAGGAGGAATAGTAGAATCCATGTAGTAAGTTTCATTTTGCACAAGGAACATGTTTTATCTGTCATTATTTTAAAGTAAATAATGAAATATAGACTAGCTTCTAGAACTATTTTGCCTTTTGACAGCCAAAAGAAACACACACTAAAAATCTGTGTTTTACAAGGGTAGCAGGAGCCTGATTTGCACAGCTGAATACTTCAGGACACTGCTTAACACGTAAAAATCTATTTTAATTTAGAGAATTGCCATTAAAACTTATTTAAAATACATATTTAATATATGTATGAAACAAACACAATGCAGGTACCAACAAGGCTTCTTCCAAACTTGCGGTTCCATTTAAAACTTTATTTCGTATGTTCAGAACTACACCGGAAACAGAAACTTGTAGGCACAAATGACTTCATATCTAGAGTTTTTTAATAAAATATTTGCTAATAAAATTGCAACAACACATTTTCATGATAACTATATATCTTAATATTTCATATATACACATAAAAGTCATGCGTTGTAAAGAGTCATTTTGTCTAAAGCAGGTTTTTGGGGTACTAAATTTCACTGCAGATCTTACATGGTTAAATTATGTTGTGTTTTCTTCTGTACATTTTAAAGAATTTATCATACTGATATCACATTCCCAAATAAACCACAAAATGTCATAAAGCTATATATTTTCTTTATTTACCTTACAGTTTTTCCCATATTAAAAAAAAAAATTGTATAAGTAATAGCAAGACAAATATTTTAAACCAGCTCACAAGTACGTAAGATGTGTAAAATCTAGTAATATAAACTAAGATGACAATCCAAGGTTATAAAATATGTTCTCTTTCCAGTCTATGGTACATGAGTAATATTGCTTCTGTACTGGCCTTGCTTTGATACACGCAAAGTCCATGAAATAATTAATGGCTTATTATGTAGCAGGTGAGGAATCAACTGAGAATTAAAGGAAATGGTCCTCAAGACAACAGTTGGCAGCTAGTTGTTTTATTTCCACCTTTGCCATACTCTTTTCTTACTATGAGGTGCATACAAAAAAATGTCCAGGGTCAAATTTCAGCCTATTATAATCTTGCAGCCGTAATCCTTTAAATAATTCATATCCCCTATATTCTACTACTGCAAGATTCTTTACAATGTAAATAATTCCTCCAGTTAAAGTAATAATGTTAAAATGACTTTTGTCTTTATATGGCCTTTTAAAATTTGGGTTTCTATCATTATTCCATGATGGCTGCTTAGCTGTGAGCTATGCATGATGACATTTGGCACTGGTGTGTTAACATCAGCAGAAGATCTCTGTACTGCTGACCTCTGTATGTGACACATTACTCCTGAAGTGTGATTATTATTTTGATTTTCCAGTTTCATTAATGGAGTACAATGCTGTGAAGGTGAGTATCACCAGCCATTTGTTTACAGAGTAGATGTAAAAACATCTATAAAAGTCTTATTAAATGTAGTGCTTTTAAATGTTTTGCATCCCTGATCTGGAAATAATATTCAATTTATTGACAAACTGACAAAAAAAAAGGTGCACTTAGCTGTATAAGCTGTACCAGGTTTCTCTATGTGTTTTAGGAACTATAAAAGAATATGAAGAGACAGCCTGGCCAAACACAGAGTGAGCACTGGACTGAGATTGACGAGACCTGCTGTTATTCATGGATCTGACACAAACCTGCTGAGTAGCCTATGTGCACTTGGTTCCTCTCTTCAAGTCTCAGTTTCACCACCTGAGAATTTAAAATAATGATACTGTCCTTTTTGTAAAGTGCTTGGAGATTTATGGAGAAAAAACATTGTGTAAGAGCCAGGAATTCATTGTCAAGGAAGAGTTTTTTCATGTTCTCTCCAATTTTCTCTTCCAATGCAATGAACACAAAATTCTATCTCCTTTGAAATCAGTAGGAGTTTTACTCTCGATTTTAATGGTACGAGAATTTCTTCTCAGTGAATGACAGAAGTTGTGCTCCTTTCTAGAGATTGCTAACAGCAATTCTTGTTCAAAGAAACGTGCACTGCCACTCTACCTGTGAAATGTCTGCAGTTTTGTTTGAAAGGTGGAAGGTAAGCAAGCAGTAACTCCAAGAGGAGCAAGGTAACAATTTATAATGCAAATACTGCTTTTGAACAACTCCTAGAAGATATTTATAATGCACCAGCATGCATACTAATAACACAGGTACCTGACTGCATTTTCCTGCAGTATGATTTTGACATAAACATTTAGTAAAAATGTGGTGCTTTCTTTTATTATTTCAAAGCAGTTCCTAAGGTGCAAATTGTAGTTTATGCAATTTTGATGTGTCCTTTAAAAAAATGTGTGTGCTTCTTTCATCTTAGGTGGTCTTTGTTATCAGTAGGATACATACTTTACTAATTCATTTTAGTTTTTAAAAAAGCTTTGGAGACAGATCCAGAAAAGCTCACATTTTGTATACTTTTTCCCCCCTGACAGAGTGGTTTAATAGAGTTTTTTTCTATTCTGAACTTGGTATTGCACTGTAAAACAGTACTGACTGCAGCTCTTAATATGTAAATCCTGTGGTACTTATCCCCATAAATCTTCTCTTAGAGACTCTTATGAGCCCTAAGTCTAGATACAGGATTTGGTTCTATAAATAGTCACACCAGTTCAAATCATGAGTTTAAATGGTAAATATAAAACCCTTCAGACAGTATAAAGGCAATAGATCTAGTAGTACATGAATGCAAAACCATTCTAATTGGAATATAGTAATGTAAAGAAGTTTCACTCAGCTGATCCTGCAATTTGAATAAAAACATTGTATACTACACCAACTCATCTCAAAGACAGATTTTCTGTGCATTCACCAGTCACGCTGTGTGTTTGTTTAACCATCAGCAGCGCTTGAAATGAGCCTTTCCCATAGAGGCTTTTGTAGGGGACTCCCTTGCCAGTCCTCCTGGGGAAACTTTCTGTTTGTATATGTACACTATTTTTATATAATCTGACATTCTCCACAGGCAAACATCTGTTCTTCTGAAATACTTGAGCGCCAGAAGCACAGGTCATTCTTGAAGTGATGGCTCCAGAAAAGATGATCTCCATCTCTCCTACAGGGGCTGGCTTTTCCTCATCCTTCAGTTCAAACACTGCATCACATTAAAAGGAAATGTTACGATGGGGGATTGAGGAATATCTGTTCCTTTTAACTGTGCTACCCTCACGCTTTCTTTTAGAGTGAAATATTTCATTTATTTGGCAGAGCCAGGACTGCACACTGGCCCATCAGTCAGTAATGAAAATTGCACAGAACTGTTCACAGCATTCTTAAAGGTCATGGTGCCACTCAGCAGGCATTTATACATTCTAGATTTCTTCACAGCCATTTCTTTGTTTTTCTTCTTAACATTCTACATTGTCTTTTCTTGTAGTTAGGTGCAATTGTAAATAACATGAAGCTGACTTTCCAAATCTTTCACATTATGCTAAGGATAAAACTTTTTTCTTCTGTAAATTACAAAATCAGATATCCTGACCCATCCTTCTTTTACTTCCTTACTTTTTTCACTGATAGCTAACGTACATAGTTTTTTAATTGTTTACTTTTTTCATAGTAACCACAGTAACTATTTTTTCCAAATTCCATTTCTTTTTTAAACAGATACTAGTAAATATGCTCTTGCATGGTTGTTAGCTGTCTATAAGTTATATATGCGTATTGTCAGACAGGTGAGACTGCTTGACTGGCTTCTGGCAGTGCAATTTCACATAACCACACATTTGCCTTTCAGCTTCTCTTTCCTTTTCTGCTGCTTGCTTTTTTTGCCATCAATTTGTAAACTCACAGTCCTGCGTTTCTCTAGGTTTAGCAATTCTTGGAATAACTCTTTCACATTGTGGTTCAGCTTGGCAGAGGTCTCCATGAAGGCACATTTCCACTTTTTAGCCATGGCTTCTCCTTCACTGCTGTCCACCTCTCGATTTTGGTTCTCATCATTTTTGTTCCCAACCAGCATTATTGGGATGCTTTCTATGTCACCTTTAATCTGACATATTTGCTCATAGATCGGTTTGAGTTCCTCCAAGGACTGTTGGCTGGTGATAGAGTAAACCAAGATGAAAGCATGTCCCTTAGAAATAGAAAGACGTTGCATGGCTGGAAATTGATGGCTGCCTGTGGTGTCAGTTATCTGCAAAGTGCAGATGCTCTTATCACAGCTGATCACCTGCCGATAGGTGTCTTCAATGGTAGGGATGTAGCTCTCTCTGAAAGTGCCCTTCACGAATCTCAAGACCAAAGAACTTTTGCCCACTCCTCCAGCTCCAAACACTACCACCCTGTAATCATTGCTTTGCTCAGGCATGTTTCCCTGTGTGTCTGTTGCTCAGCTAGAGAGAAAAATCTAGGAAAGAAAATGACAAAACCAACAGGACAGATATTAGTACAGGTACATGCGGAGAGTGCACTTTGTGATATTTTTCCCAGTAGGAGAAATGAATGTGATGTAAGTGATGGAATACTTGTAATAATTTAAGAAGACTTGCAGTGTGTTATAGAATGATTCATTTCAGTAGTAAATTTAGGATCTACAATCTAGCCTGGACTGGTAACAAAAGACCATCTTGATTGCTTCATGACTTATTTTAAATTAACATTGTGAGTTTCGGTATTCTTCCTACTGGACTAATATCCACAAAATAAAAAGCTGCATCTGTGAAGCAGTATTTCAACAAGACCAAGGCCCAAACAAATTGTAGAAATTTAATTACTTTTCTGTCTCTAAAACAAGTCTCCTCAAATCATTGTTGAAACTCACCGCTTTAGATATGCATGACTCCAAACATGCCATCTCTTCTGTAGCTAGGGAATTTAAATCCACTATAACTGGACAAAACTCCTGAGTGACATCTAAGACATATTTGTAGCTTATTCAGCAATATCGCCAGGTATACTTTCCTTTAACTCTTTGGGAGCATCACTTCCATGTGTTTTTCCAATTGCATTTTGAGTCAAAGAGTACATTTTCATAAACTGTGATTCCTTATGTTCAGTCTGCCTTTTTATTCTAATCTTGATTTCACAGCAGATGATATTTGACTGGAGACATGCTACACTCATAAGAAAGGTTGTGCAGGTGTCTTCACAACATTTTTAAGTGGCTTATACTGTCAAGGTTGGCAAATGTATATGTCAAAGATCACAAAACTCTCTGATAGCTGAAGTCAGATTCCCTTGACAAAACCTGTCTGTAAATGGTAGGACAACAAATATTGTAATCATTATTAAATAACAGAAATTATAAAGCTTTCACAGGGTTGCAAGCTGTAGTTGTTTTAGAATTCATTGATATAAACGTGAAGATAAATTTGTCCTCCCATCAGTAGCAACTCAGGTACAGAGCATGTACAAGTTTATTTTTTTATTTAGTGAGACTTAAGCAAATAAACACTAAAAAAATGGCATCTTAAAAGTTGAAGAGCTGTATCTATATTTGTTCTTAGGAAAATGGGCTGATTTAATAGGGAACGTTTTCCATGTGTCCTGATGGTGTCAGGTGATTGAATTTGCCTATTGGAATTCTAACGGTGTAGCAGCTAATCCAGAAAAACGCAAAGAGATTTCTTACTGAATAAGGAAAGCCTTCAAGCTATTTCATCACTGCAGCAGAATGAGTGATTGCATTTCAGTGCAGGAATTTAAGTTACCCATTACCTGAACAGCACAGGAAAGTGATGTAGACGTTTGGATGTAAGTGGAGCACACGTGACCTTATCCCAGTTGCCAGCCTACACTGAATTTTGTGCTTCTGCATCTTTGATGCTGTTGTTGCCTGTGCCAACTAGATGAAAGCTACAGCTACCCACACTACATTAATGTCTTCATTTTGCTGTTCAAGCACACCCTGATTTTGTTATCCTTCTTGTCCAGGGCATCGTATTCTGTCCTAATTCTAATGTCTGAAGAAGCTGGAAACATCAGTCTTTACATGATGTGTTGGATGAAGGAGCTGTACTTCCTCATCTGCCACCCCTTAGACAGAATAACCGGTGCAACTGGGGATGCTGATCCTGAGACAAAGTGGAGAGCTGTCACAGCTCTGCCTCCCCAGCCTGGCTTCAGGCACAAGGCAGCTTAGCCCCTTTAATCTTTCCCACGTTGCAGTCACTGTCATTCTCAGAGGCCTGTTTAGAAAAGACTAATAAATAAGAGTGTTCATCCTAAGGCACTGAAGCAAAATTGTTTCTCTCTGACAGCAGAATTCAAGGAATGGAAAGAAAAGTAGTCTCAGAAAACACTGGTGTATGTGTTTATATAAGAGGGAAAAACCTTCTGAGGAACAAGGAAAATGGGTGAGCAGTTCATGCTTTTAAGAAAACAAACAATATCAAGTAGCCAGCAAGATATGAGAACAGAGAAAGCTAACAGGATGCTGTTCCACTGTGAATAAACATGTATCTAAGAGCTGCAAACATGCAAATTCAGAACAGTCATAGAGTGGTGGGTGACTGCATAGAATGAGCTACCATAATAATCATACTTTAGTATTTTTTGTGAGCAAAAAGACAAGAGAGAAAAACATGGCTCTTTCACCTCTGAAGCAGCTAAAGTGTTGCACAATCAGATAATAAGTAGCCTAGTAACTATGGGATGATGAGAAAAAAATGCACTATGAAAATTTTTACTATGAAAAACAGTGAAAGATGGGGTAGAGAAATAAAGTTTTAAAAGCTAGTTGAGTGTACTTCTGCTATATTAAAATTGGTGCTTTAAGCATACTGATAAATCTCCAAGAAAACTGCCACATATGGTTGCCCAAAAGTTAGAACACATTGAATAGTGGCACTTATGGCATGAAGTATTAAGCATCCAAAACGCTTCTAATGGAACCTGAAATGACATGGTAACAGTTTTCAAATAGATAGTAAGTTGTTCCAAAGTGGGAGGGTGTACCTCTGCAGTGAAAAAAAAGGGGAATTAATGGGCTTACATTGTAGAAGAAAGTCCCATTAACCAATAGGAAAACTTTACAGTGGTAAGAAAAGCAAACCTATTGCAGACTGTCTTTAGAAATGACCATAGAATCACAGGATAATTGAGGCTGGAAAGGACCTGAGAAGGTCTCTGGTCCAACTTGATGGTCACAGCAAGGTTAGCCATGACACCAGACAAGGTCTGAAGATAGGCTTTGTAAACCTCCAACATTTCCCACAGCCTCTCTGGATCTGCTAAATCTGCTCCACTGCTAAATTACCCTTAGTGTGATGGGTTTTTTCCACCTTAATATGTAGTCTGAACTACTTTTGTTTCAACTCCTACTTGCTGCCTCTACTCTTTCCTCCACCCATTGCTGTGAAGAGTTTGACAACATATTTCAGATTGTTTTCCTGTAGGTTTTGGAGGGGCTGCTGTTTGGTGCACCCCAAACTGTGCCTTCCCCAGTCTGACCAGCCCTGGTCCCTCAGCCTGCAGGGCAAGACAGTGCTGCAGCCCTGGATACCTCAGTGCTATCAGCTGAACTTGCACCAGTTTATTGATGTGTTTCCCCTACTGAGGGTGCCAAAACCGGATAAACTACAAAACAAAAAGATCATTCAAGGCTTTTTGATTACACTGGAGAAAGAATTCCCTAAATACATTTTACCATGTGGTTGCATTCTCTGTGTGAATCCAGTCTGAGAGTCTCCTGCAGGGAAAATTACTCTGTATGACTGTAGTGCATTTGTACCCAATTGTGCATTTGTTAATACTTTTCATACAGCCCCATTAGTGTATTGATTTTCTTTGTATTAAGTATGTTAACTAAAACACACAACAGGACAAAATGAAGTACCACATTGTTTCATCAACTTTCAACATTCTGGCCAATGTGGGTATAGAAAAATTAACTTGAAATAAGTCTGACTTTTCAAATGTAAAATATCCTCTCTGATTCATATGTTGAGAACCTGTCTGTAGTTGGTTTTTACAGTTGTTTTCTACATGTTAGAAATTATTCTGCAGTTTGTGTATAATAAAGCCTCATTTGCTGCCTGTGCTACTTATACAAAGTACATAGTGAAAATTTACAATCACTCTCTGAAGTGTCAGTTTAACAAACCTATCCTTACTTAAAAAGGCAAAGAACTTTCCATAACATAAATCCATACCCTTCATTTTTTTATTTGTTTGGGTTGCAACATTCAGCAAGCTAGTGAGTCTCCATATGCCTCTGCTGACTTTGCTCTGTGTTCTGCTAGCACAAGTTGCTATACCTCAGATGACGTGAGTGAGCTCAATGGGCTGTTCACTGGGATAAAAGGCTGCCTCCAATGCAAACTCAACTACAGGCCCTTATGATGGTCTGAATTCTTTCACTACTTGT